AGATGGCCTTTATGATGTTGAGGTATGTTCCTTGTATCCCCAGAATTTCAAGGGCTTTTATCATGAATGGGTGTTGCACTTTGTCGAAAGCTTTCTCAGCATCTATTGATATTATCATATGGTTTTTATATTTCTTTTTGTTGATGTGTTGGATAACATTGATTGATTTTCGGATGTTAAACCATCCTTGTGCCCCTGGAATGAATCCAACTTGGTCGTGGTGAATTATCTTATGGATACATTGTTGGATTCTGATAGCTAAATTTTATTGAGGATTTTTGCATCAGTGTTCATTAGGGAGATTGGCCTGTAGTTTTCCTTTTTTGTGTTGTCCTTGTTCGGTTTTGGTATTAGTGTAATGTTGGCTTCATAAAACGTGTTTGGTATTGTCCCTTCCTTCTCAATTTTTTGGAAGAGTTTGTGAAGGATAGGCACTAATTCGTCTCTGAATGTTTGGTAGAATTCATTTGTAAATCCATCAGGTCCTGGGCTTTTGTTTTTGGGGAGGTTTTTTATTACCATTTCAATTTCGCTAATTGTAATTGGTCTGTTTAGGTGTTCTATTTCTTCTTTATCTAGCTTTGGGTGATTGTAGAGTTGTAGGAATTTGTCCATCTCCTCTAGATTGTTAAACTTGTTTCCATATAACTGCTCATAGTAGTTACTGATTATTCTTTTGATTTCTGCTGTGTCCGTTGTGATTTCTCCTCTTTCATTGATGATCCTGTTTATTTGTGCTTTCTCCCTTTTTTCCTTTGTGAGCCTGGCTAGGGGTTTGTCTATTTTATTGATTTTTTCAAAAAACCAGCTCTTGGTTTCATTGATCTTTTGGATTGTTTTTTTAGTTTCAATTTCATTTATTTCTGCTTTGGTTTTTATTATTTCTTTTCTTCTACTGGTTTTGGGGTTTTTTTGTTGTTCTTTTTCTAGATCTTTGAGCTTCGAGATGAGGTTGTTTCTTTGCGTTCTTTCTTGTTTCTTGATGTGAGCTTCTATTGCTATATATTTTCCTCTTATTACTGCTTTTGCTGCATCCCATACATTTAGGATATTAGTGTCCTCCTTGTCGTTCAATTCAAAAAATTTTTTAATTTCTTTTTTGATCTCCTCATTAGTCCAATGGTCTTCCAGTAGTGTGGTTTTTAATCTCCATGAGGTAGGAAAGTTCCTTGCCTTCTTTTTATGGTTTATTTCTAGTTTGATGCCTTCATGGTCAGAAAAGATGGTTGATATGATTTCAATCTTGGTGTATCTGTTGATGTTTGTCTTGTGCCCCAGTATGTGATCGATCCCCCTAACACTTTCACCATTGTTTTAATGTCTTCACAATTTGATTGATATGTATTTTTTAAAGATTTATTTATTTATATAAGAACTGGGGTACAGGTCAATGGCACGGGAGGGTGAGAGAATTCACCAGAGAGAGTGGGGAGCAGAACAGGCAGACGGACCAAAGACACTGCTGAGGAGAGCAGCGGGTGTGGCAGGAGCGGTCTGCCACGCCATGTGGGTTTCTCCCTGGCAGGCCGGGAACTGAACCTGCGCTGCAGAGGCTGCGGACAGCTTCACAGCTCAGTGCTTAATCCGCTGCGCCACCAGGGAGGCCCTTGATTGATATATTTTATATACCTACCATTCACCCATATAAAGCGTATTATTCATTGGCTTTGAGTATAGCCATAGAATTGTCTGATCATCATAACAATCAAATTTAGAACATTTTTTGTAACCCTCTCCAAAAACATTGCAACCCCTTAGTCAATCTCCCAGCATCTGCAAGGCCTGGGCAACCACTAACCTACTTTTTGTCTCTATAGATTATGCCTATTCTGGATATTTCATGTAATATATGGTCATATTGGAATGGCATTAGATAATATGTGTTCTTTGTGAATTACTTCCTTCATGTAGCTTTATTTAAAAAGGCTCATTTGTATTTTAGTATGTATCAGCATTTTATTCCCTTTTTGATGCTGAATAACATTCCTGTGTGTGAATATACTTTAATGTCTATGATCATTTGGGTTATTTTCACTTTCTGGCTATTCTAAGTAATGCTGTGTAGGGGCAGGAAGGGCACAGAGCAGGATCTCTATTATCTGAGCAGAGGGGTAAAGGAGGAGTCCTGGAGCCTTCGGTGGATTTTCAGGCTTTTATTAGGCTTTTACTTGTAGTGTGGCAACCAGGTACATGGCAGGCAGGGCTGCCTACAGGCCAGGAGGCTGGCAGGCCTCCAACCCCCGCAAATCTTCACTCTTTTCTGGCCTCTGTGGCGTTCTGTCATGGTCCCGTTTTCTCTCTCTTACTTCTCTTTCATTCTTCTGGTTCCCCATGATGCCACCCTTATAAGCCCAGTCTCAACCCAGGTGTCCAAACCTATGTATGTCCACACCCCACTGCAGGTGCCCACCATTAGGTATGCATGTAGGACCACTGGGATCCATGATTAATCCTACTGGTGGGAGGGCAGAAAAGCCTGATAATCACTTACGCTGCAGGCTGCTATAAGTATTTGTGCACGACTTTTTGTGTGGGTGTAAGTTTTCATTTCTCTTTGGTATACCTAGTAGTTGGTTGCTGGATTGTATAGTAACTCTGTGTATAAACTGTTGAAAAATTACCAGACTGTTTGCCACAGTGGCTGTACAATTTTATATCGCTACCAACATTGTACAAGGGTTTGGATTTCTCCACAGCTTCATAACACTTGCTATTGTCCATCTTTTTTATTACAGTAATCCTAGTGGATATGACTTGGCATCTCATTGTGGTTTTGATTTGCATTTCCCTGAAGACCAGTTGATTTTTGAGTTGTATGTTGTTTCATTTTTTGAGTTTTATTAGTTCTGTGTGTATTTTAGACACAAGTCTCTTATGAAATATAAGATTTTTGCAAAATTTTCCTCTATGTGGTCTGCCTTTTCATCTTATGGAATCTTTTGAAACAAAACAGTTTTAATTTTTATTGTATCATTTATTGACTTAAAAGGACTTTTAAGTTTTAGCTCTCTGGGCTAAGTCTTTGGTTTGCTTTGAGTTAATTTTTGTACATAAGATAAGGGTGTTATAGGGAGAAGATCAGGGAGAAGTCCATGCCCACGTAGGATTTGGTGTATTTGTTTTTTGTTTTTTATACCCTATTTTTCCAGGCTTATTCTGACCTGGGGATTTGGTTCTTGCTGGTGTTATCAATTGGAATATCAGGTTTTCAGCTAGCTTCTGCCTTTAGGCGATGTCTGGGTTCTGTTTGCCTTGTTTCCACATTCTCTGGAAGTCTGATAGCTCTAAGTCATGTAGACCCAGGGTCTGGCTCCCTTGGTTTTATCACAGTCCCTTCCTTATCTACTATATGTCTCCCAGCAGTGTTCTGCTGAGCAAAATGCAGTGACTATATTTTATTTTTATCAAAGGTACCCCAAAAAAGGAGATGCTTCTTTTACAAGAGGAAATCTAGTTATCCTAGTTCCATTTGTTGAAGTGACTATTTTCTCATAAATGGTCTTAGCACCTTTGCTGAAGATCAGTTGACCTTATACGTAAAAGTTTATTTCTGAACTCTCAAATTTTATGAAAACAATTTGAAATTTTTGACTGTGTTCCAGGCATAATCCTAAGCACATATGCATTTATTCCTTATATTAACTTTATGAGACGGGCATTACTCTCACCTCCATTTCACCGATGTAGTAGTCTAGCCACAGAGTGATTTGCCCAAGATCACATAGCTATAATAGTAGGCAAGTGCACACAGGCCTTGCCCTTCTGCAGACTGACTTGAGAGGCTAAGCGCTTGACCATGTGCGGGTAAGGTAAAAAGTATCAGGCTTTTCTGCCCTCCCGCCATTAGGATAGATGATGGATCCTTGTGGTCCCGAATGCATGCCTGATGGCGGGCACCTGGAACAGGGTGTGGGCATAGGTAGATGGGCTAAGACTGGGCTTTTTAAGGATGGCGTCATGGGGACACCAGCAGAAGCCGAGAAAGAAGCAGAGGAATAGAGAAGCCAAGAACAAAGGGAAGCCGAGAGAAGAGAAGCAGAGAGAATGCCAGAGAGCCCAGACAGAGTGAGGATTTGCTGGGGCTGGGAGGCCTGCCAGCCTCCCTGCCCCCCAGCACCCCTGCCTGCCATATGCCTGGTAAATCTAAATAAAAGACCTGCAAAAGTCACTGAGGGCTCCAGGACTCCACCTTTACCCGGTCTGCTGGATCATAAAAAACCTGCACTGTGGTCTTCCTGCCTCTACACCATGCTGTAAATAAATGTAAGAAATCGGAACTTGGAATCCTACTGAATAGTAAATTTTAAAAACGGTGGAGTGGGATGGATCACTAAATTTGGAAAAGCACAACAGAGTTGGGGCTTGTAGTGTCAGGAAGGCATAGAGCTGGTTCTCTTTGATCTGAGCAGATGGGTGAAGGAGGAGTCCTGGAGCCCTTGGTGGCTTTTCAGGTTTTTGTTGAGTTTACCCAGTTCACGGCAGGCAGGGGTTGGGAGGTGAGCGGGCTGTCCAGCCCCCCGCGAATCTTCACTCTTTCTGGGCTCTCCGGCATTCTCTCCTGGTCTCGCTCTTTGACTTGTTCTGGTCTGTTCTGGTCTCTCTTTCTCTCTGATCGCATCCCCGTGACACCTCCCTTATGGGCCCGTCTCAGCACAGGTGTATCCACTCATGCATGCCCACACCCTCCTCCAGGTGCCCGCCATCAGGCATGCATTGAGGACCGCAGGGATCCATCATCAATTCTCATGGCGGGAGGGCAGAAAAGCCTGACAATTATTTCATTTACCCTCCAGGGCTTGACTAGCTTGCCTCCTAACGAGTATTAGAAATGAACCTGCCTTTCTTGGTTGAAAGCCCTCCAAACCTCCTCTTAATCACCTTTAAGTCGACGCACCTCATTGGCTGCTTGGGTTGCTCTGGCAGTGCCTGGGCCGCGGACCTCTGCTGCGCCCACTTCCCAGCCGGCACCTTAAAACCACCCTCCGCCTGGAGCGCCGAAGGGGATCCAGGTACAGCCCCAGACTGGAGAGCACCTGAGATGCAGGAAGTCTCGCGAGAAGTTGCGTCGTTGCCCCGGTAACAGCGTCGCATTACAAAAGATGGCGGGGAGAAGCTACAGACTCAGGGTTAGCTCCTCCCCAGACGCCTAGTGGGCCGCTAGGTTACCGGGACGCTGGACTTCGTGTCTGAAAGTATGTCCCTTTCGCAGAGACGGAGCGTTTCGGGGACCCCGCCCCAGCCACGCGTTCAGCAGCCTGCGGTGCGTCGACGGGACCTCCTCGCCCAGGAGGAGGAATATAAGTAAGAAAGTCGGCAGTTCAGCCTTTTTCTTTTTTCTTTCACCCACATAAGGCTGCTTATAAGTACTTTTCCTGGTCCCTGGACTTCTGTACCCTCATATTCTGCACTCCCCTCTCCCCTTTTTCTTTCCCTTGAGTTCACCTGTGTCCTCCAAGGGCGAAATTTAATCCTAGTAAATATGTTTGCAAGATGCTACTAGGAGCTAGAAGGTTTTGGGTAGCAGAAATACCATGACTAGTTCAGTTTTTAGTTTCAGTGATTTTACTTAATTTCAAGTTCCTAGAGTTGCAGATGTAAATTTCTTAGAGGCTGGTTTTTCTGAATTTTCTTAGTGCACATTTGGAATTGCCGTCTTTATCCACGTTTGGTGGAGGTAAGGAGGCTTACCTTACCTGCTCTCAGTGTAATTACACTTATCCTGACCACACCTGCTTTCATTCTCAGAGCATTCCACTCTTCATTCCCCAGTTTTCACACGCCAGAGTAATATTTTTAATTTGATCAAGTCACTACTACTTTGCTTAAAATTTTCCTGTGGTTTCCTGTTGCACTTCAAAAATTTGTCAGTCCTGGCCTCTGCCTCTTGTTTGATCCTGTACCTTCTCCTTTTTGCCTCTTGGCCTCCAGTCTCAGCGACCTTTTAGTTCCTGTCTTTCCTTGAATGCAGTCACACAAGTCATCTACCTGTAATGACAAAGTAGTCTTCCTTGACATGCTAAGTAGGCTCCTGGTTATTTTATTGTCTTAACTTTTCTTTGGAATTAGTATACTTTGTTACAACATATTCATTTGTTAGCTTAAGTATTGTCTATTTCTTCCAATGCACAATAAGTTCACAAGATTGGAGACCCTACCTTTTATTTGCCATTGTATATAGTTTTACTTCCCAAAAATTATGTTTTAACAAGTCTTTTTAAAGTAGCTAATTTAGAAATTGCAAAACATCCTGGCAATTCCTCAAATACAGAGTTAGCATATGATATGTATTTAAAATTAAAGCACAGTTAAAGTTAAAATTGAAGTGTGCTGACTTTAGCATTTAGGACCTAGACACGTAGGACCATAATCAGCCTCCCTTTGATGAAATAGGCCCACTCTTCCAGTTTGAGAGTGCACTTAAAACAGTTTGTTGGGCCCCCCTGGTGGTGCAAGGAGTTAAGACTGCAGCACTATGAGGTTACCCACAGCCACTGCAGCATGAGTTGGATCCCTAGCCAGGTTGGTGACCCACATGGGGCAGCAGACCTCTCCTGTCTTGCCCACTGCTGCCCTCAGCAGTGTATTTCAGTCATCCTGCCTGTTCTGCTCCCCACTCTGTCTCTGGTGAATCCTCTCACCCCCACACCTCTGGCCGGTATCCCAGTTCTTGTATGCATAAATAAGTCTTAAAAAAAAAAAAGTTTGTTGTCCACATACAGTTGAGTCAGCTGTGCTTAATACAAAGTAGTTATTTTCATTACCATCACCAGATAGCACTAAATAACTGCATTGATTGAGTTAATTAGTTTAGATCTTCAAGGGTGTATTTTTCACCTGGATCTGCTGTGTGGCGAGGAATATGGTCCTGCTTAAAAGTCAGCTACAGGAGCTTTTCTGTTGTAGCAGAAGTTGTTTTGTGGCAAAGGTGCCTAGTTGTTACTTACTCTGTTATCTGTACTGTGAGTGTGCAAATCTGCTTTGTATGAAGCTGGTTGTTCACCATGCAGAAGTTTCTCACAGGCAAGAATAAGTTTATTAGACTATTTTGCCACGTATATTGGTATTAAGCATTTTGGGGTGTCTTTTCAATCTTCAGAACATAATACTTTTCTGCAACCTCAGTCCAGAATCTCGTACAATCAGTTCATGTCAAATAATTGAAAGAAATATAATCACTGAGAAGACTAAGGAATATGCTTATCATTCCAGTCAATAGATTTTTCAAGCTTTATGCCTGTTATATAACCAGAGAACTAAATAATAAAGATTATGTGACATGTTTTAATTGGTCTTGATAACTGGTAGGAAAAACCTCTCCTGCCCTCTGCCAGCCCCTGCCCATAAATGCCAATCATCTTGGATTTATATAATAATTTGCAGAGAACTGATCTCTTTATGCTATTGAATCTTCCTTTCCACTAATAGGGTTTTAGCGCAGAGTGGCACAGTGCAGGTTTCTGTGACCCAAGCAGACGGGTAAAGGAGCGTTCTGGAGCCCTCGGTGGCTTTTGCAGGCTTTTATTGGGATTTACCAGGTACACGGCAGGCTGGGACGCTGGGAGGCTGGCAGGCCTCCCAGCCCCCAGCAAGTCTTGACTCTTCCTGGGTTCTCTTTCTTCTTCTGGTGGTTCTGTTCATCGGCATCCCGTGACGCTGCCCTTATGAGCCCAGTCTCTCAGCCCAGGTGAAACCACCTACGTATGCCCACCTGCCTGATGGCAGGTGTCCGCCATCAGGCATGCATTTAATCTAATGGTGGGAGGGTGGAAAAGCCTGATACTTTACTTACCCTACAATGGTACATGTCCATTTTTGGTGTCCTTCGTCAGAAATTTTGCATATTATGTAAATTTTTCTTGCTATAATGAAATGACTTTTTTCCTCCTACATTTTCTAATTGGTTATTGGTTAGATGTGTAGGCACACCATTGATTTTTGTGTGTTGACCCTACACCTTTATATAGATCCAAGTGATCGGTTAATAGAACTCTTTTTCATTCATTATAGAGGCCCTTGGCCTTTGATTAAGGCAGATAGATATGAATTTTAAGTTTTGTCCCTTTATATTTTGTGATGCATTATTTATTTGGAATCTGGTTAGTATCCCTAGTACAATATGGAACAGAAAAAGTGATGGTGATTGTCTTTATCTTGGTTATGATTTTATGGAATCTGCTTTTAATAATTACATTTGAGGTTTGCCATATAGTTTTGGTAGATTCCTTTTATCAGGTTTAAGGATGTTATTTCCCATTCCTATTTTGTATGAAGGTTGTCTTACCAAAACTCCCCCGCCAAAATTAATTAGTTGATAAAATGGTTTTATGTACCCCTTGTTTAATGTTCTAACACACAAGTACATATCTTGTATATCTTTATAGACCATTTGATTTGATTGCTTTATGTGTCTTTAACAAGAGTAAGATCAATCTTACATTTTTTTCTAGTGTTTTTCCTTGTAATAACAACAGTGTTCTCCTAACCACACTAAATAAGCTGTCCTTTGATTAAAATGGTGAAACTGAGTCTGATGTGGCTTTTTGTTGAGGGAGTTATTTTCAATTTCTTTAATGATTACTATTTCCAGGATAAATTTTGGTTAGTTGATAGTTTTTCTAGCTCCTTTGTTCATTGCAGCACTATTTATAATAGCCACGTTATAGGAACAACCTAAATGTCCAGGGACCCGGGGACAGATGAGTAGATTAAAATGGTGTGTTTATATACAATGGAATACTACTCAACTATAGGGGGGAAAAAAAAGGGAACTCTTGCCATTTGTGACAACATGGATGGAACTGGAGAGGATAATGCTAAATGAAGTAAGTCAGAAGGAGAAAGACAAATACTGGATTGTGTCACTTTTAAGTGAAATACAGAGAAACAAAACCAAACCTGACTGTAGACTTGAGCTACAAGATGGGGAGGAGGAGAGGGATAAAGTGTGGAGGTTTTGGTCACAGTGGCTTATGGTAAAGCCACTTACGGGTGGTGGGTGTTGTGCGGTGACATGCATCCTAGGAAATATGGTCCTATGCCTCTAAATAATATGCAATATTATACACCAATTTTACCTCAAGGCAACTTGAAAAATTTTCATTTGTCTTTATTCTTCCTATCTTCTATTTGTGGTGGATTTTTTTTAGTTTCATTTTTAATTTTATTTTTACAAAAACCATTAATTTTTATGAAGTTCTCTCCAGTTACAGCTTATCTATATTTCAGGGCCTGTTTTGATATATATATATATATATATATATATATATATATTTATTCTTTTGTAATTTTGTTTTAAATAGTTTGATTTTCATAGTGAATATTTAGGAATTTTGCTTTTAATTGTGAAGCATATGTTTCATTTTTATTTTTAAATTTATTGAACAGCGATCAAAGAATATGGTATTGATTTTTAAAATGTATTAAAATTATTTGTGAGTAGGTAAATGGTCAATTTTTGTAAATATCCTTCGTGCTCTGTGATAGAAATAAACGCTTTTTGGTGACTAATCTGTTAGATTAAGCTAGTTAATTGTGTTCTCTGAGTCTTAAATTTTCCAGTCTTTTCTGAAAATTTTGTTACTTTGCATTTCAGAGATAGTTCAGTGAACATAGAATTGTAGATGATCAGTGTTTTCTCCTACAGTCTATTAAAGTACCATTTCATATCCACTGGACTCTAGCAATGCTGATATGCCATCTCCTATTAGCTTTTTAGATAATAATACTATAAGGACGTTTTCTGTTTTTTACATAATTGCTTTGATAATTTAAATACTATTTGTCATTGAAGTTCTGCAGTTTCACTGTTGATGTGTACAGGTGTGTGGATTTGTTTTTCTAATTGTGCTTGAGATCCATATGTCCAGTTTTGGAAAGGTCTCATAATAATTATCTCTTCATAGTTTGACATTTTCTTATTCTAGTTCCTTCTGTACTTTATGTTTTAGGTAGATATGCATGTGTTTTTATCATACATTCTGCTTTTTTATATTTTTCCCCTTTTATCTGTAACACCTCATAGGTGATATTTGCATATCTGTCTTCTAATTCATTCCCTTTTCAGTTCATTCTATTCAATTTATTCACTGAATTTGAGCGTTTAATTTCAGTGACTTTTCATTTTTGTAATTTCTATTTGTTCTTTAACAAATTCAGTGTTCTTTTGTAATAATGTCTGATTCTTGCCTAATGTTTTCTATTTTTGCTGCCTGCCCCCATGCCCCAAAGTAAAATTTTGCTTTACTATCTCCACATTTTATGGTACAGAGTTTGTTGTCTCTGCTGATTTTCCATGTTGATGACTTGTTTATGAATTTGTTACATTTGTAAAGTCATCCTTAGTGGGATTTGCTTTCTTAGAGACTTCCATGTGTTCTAGAAGAGTAAATGTCCATTAGGGTGGTGGTTTTGCATTTAATTTTTCTAGTTTATCAGAGTTTTCACTGCTTCCTGGGAACTTTCTATCTTAGAGTTTTCACATAGGGTCTCTGCACCATCCAGGTAAGGTGAACTTGGGCTGCTGTCCTGCGTGCTCTGATTACTCACAAGTGAACAGTTTCCACCCATGGCTCTAGTTTGATTTCCCGTCACCTAAGGTTATGGGTAGGGTGTAGGCAGTCTGTTTCGCAGGTGTAGCCCTTCATGACTCCCACATGTGCATCAGTTTCTAACTGGTAAGCTGTTTTGGCTCCTGTTCTGTTTACTGCTCATTTTGAATGCTGTTTTATTTTTAGTGCCAGGGTATTTCCCTTGCCTGAGCTTGAGCTTAGTAATATTTCCTTCATTCCAATTTATTCAACATTTCCATGGGTTTAGAGGATAATAGACTTGTGAGTCATCCCAGTCTACTGTATTACCAGAAGCTTATATTTAGGTTTTCATGATTCTTGTTAGAGAAATGTGAAAAATCAGGTAGTAGCATTTTAAATGCAACTTTGTCTTATTAGATATTTATGAATTCCTCCTAAGATATAAAATTATTTCTTAAAACATTAGGCTGGGGGCCTCCCCGGTTGCGCAGCAGTTGAGCACTGGGTTGTGAAGCTGCCCACAGCCTCGGCAGTGCCGGTTCCATCCCTGGCCACCGGGCGAGGGTCCCACATGACATGCAGACCTCTAAAGCCACCCGCTGTTCCCCCCAGCAGTGTACTTCATCAGTCTGTCTGTTCTTCTCCCTGCTCTGGCTCTGGTGAATTCTCACCCTCCCACACTTCTGACTGTACCCAGTGCTTGTATAAATAAATAAATCAATCTTAAAAAAAAAAATAGGCTGTTTCAAGAAGGGATATGGTACTGTTGTCTTTTTTTTTCTTCTGGAAGTGGGACTTGTCATTTCTGAATTATATCTATGAAAAACAACAAAGATAATCTCAATTTTAAAATTGCTCAAAATATTTCCTTCAGATAACTTAAAAAAAGCCTAAATGTGACCTGTAAATAGAATATGTAAATGTGACCTTCAAAATGTGACCTGTAAATAGAATAAAAAAACATGCTTTTGAAAATGTTTATTAGTCTTAGCCTTTAAAAGTAGAAAAGGGGCTTTAACAATAGGAACAATTCAGTACATTATGTCAATTACAACTCATTAGAATATTGGTAAATTAGCAATTTAAAGCACTAGTTATAAAGATTTTGAGATAAACAGATTCTGTATTACTAGGGGAAAACAGTAGAAATTGTATATACCCTATAATGAAAATTAGAAGGTAATGTAGAAGTAAAAATGATTGCAAGATGTGGTAGGATTTTGACCAGTTTTTCCTTTGAAACAGTTTTCTTCAATGGTACTGCCATTCTTGTGGTCTTTTTAGCATTATTATTACTATTATTATTAAACAGACTGAGTACGTGGAACTGATGATGGGCAAGATTGAAAATGCGTGAAGTACATATAATACCAAACATTAAGAAAATAAGTGTTATTATTGTAAATACCAGTCTGAGGTTAAGATACTTCATCAAAATTATGAAGTAAAATGTATAACCATATTTCAAATTCAAACAGGTTTGTCTGTTACCAGAACTCTTGGGTTTTTTTTTTTAATACTTTCATTAATTTATTATAATAGGGTAACTACTAACACTGGCTTTTTTTGATTTATGCTGTTTGTATTTTAGAAGTATACAACACCTCCCTTCTAGTGCTGTTACCATAATGCTCACAGGACCAAAGTACCCACAGTCCACCACCATAGCCCATGATGCTCCCGCCCCACTTCTTTCCTTCCCGCCTTGAATGTCTCAGTTCTGCAGTCTGCTTAGACCTTATCTGACCCTTTGTTTGGTTTCTCTATAGTCCACATATGCGACACCATCCGGTATTAGCCTTCTGCCGTCTGACTTGTTTCAGTTAGCATAATCCCAGCTCCATCCATGTTGCTGCATGTGGCATAAGTTTATTTTTTTTGATCACTGAGTAGTATTCCATTGTGAATATATAGCACATCTTGATCCACTGGTCTGCTTTGGGGTTCTTAGGTTGTTCCCATATCGTGGCTGCTGTAAATAGTGCTGCAGTGAACATAGTATTGCACGTCGCCCCTCAAATTCATTTATTTGTGTTCTTTGGGTAGATACTTATAGTAGAATTGCTGGGTCATGTGGTAGATCCATTTGTACTCTCTTGACAAATCTCCATATTGCTTTCCATTGGAGCTGAGCCCATCTTACCAACATTGTGAGTGTTCCTTTTTCTCTTCATCCTCACAGCACTTGGGGGTTTGGGTCTTTTTGATATGGGCCATTCTCACAGAAGTGAGATGATATCTCATTGCAGTTTTCATTTCCATTTCCCTAATGAGTGATGATGAGCATTTTTTCATATGCTTGTTGGCCATCTGTATGTCTTGTTTTGAAAACTGCCTATTTAGCTCTTATATCCATTTTTTGATTAGGTTATTTTCTTTTCTTTTTTTGAGATCTTTGATATTAGCCCCTTGTTAGATGTATGGTATACACATTTTTTTTCACATTCACCTGGGTGTCTTTTTATCTTAGTTACAATTTCTTTTGCAATGCAGAAGCATTTTAATTTGACGTAGTCCCAGTTGTTTATGTTCTCTTTGTTTCCTTGCTGTTGGAGAAATATCTATGAAGGTATCATTGAAGGTTATGAAGTGTTTTGCTTATGTTTTCTTCTATGTGTTTTATGGTTTCAGATCTTACATCTTTATGTTTTATCAATATTGGTGTGGTGTGCAATATGGATCCAGCTTCATTCTTTTGCATATGGCTGTACAGTTTTCCCTACATCATTGATCAAAAAGACTTTTCTTGCTCCAATGTATGTTTTTGGTTCTGTTGTTGTAGATTGTCCATATAGGTGTGGATTTGTTTCTGGGGTCTCAGTTCTATTCCATTGGTCTGTTGGTATATTTACAACCTTAATGGACAAGTAGTATTTCTATTCCTTGCTACATTCCAAACAGACTGGGAGAATTTTTTGAAGAGTGACAGGTGAAGTTCAACATCATCATCTTTATTTCTGATGAAGCTGATATTGAAGTATGTACTGAGATATGTACCACATTAGGTGTGCTCACTAAACCACAGATTTATATCCCTCCTTGCAGCAGCATTTAGGCCAATCCAGGCCTTTCCTTCCCCATCTTGCCCCACTCATGATCCTAGTTAGAGTTGATCCCAGAAAATGGAGAGTGGAACTGTGTTGAACCCTTACTGATTATTCTACCCAAATAGGTCATTTCACCTGAAGTAAGGGCCAGAGAGAAGCCAAGAGTTACACTGTCTGAGAGTCTACCACAAAGGAGTCATGGAAATTGGAAAATGTCCTAATGTTTGTTAATTTTAGAATAAAAATGTCACATCTGTGTTTTGGCATTTGTTGCTTAATATATTTGCTAATGTGTCATTGCTGAAATTTAATTGTTTTTTTTGAGAATCTTCATATTCTAATAAATTATTTTCTGCTTTTAGGCGTTTAAATGCAGAATTGGAGGCAAAAACGGCTGATCTGGTTCGACAAGCTGAGGCAGTAATTGTAAGTAAATGTACAGTTTTAAGTAATGCCTTTTAAGTGCTAGCTTTTTAATGTTTTTGTATAGTCATTTATTTTCTTACATCATTGTTCATTTTTGTACAGTAATAGGTTTCTCCCCTCAAATGTACTCCCCATAGTTTATCCACTACTGTATCGCCCATGAGCCATTGCCATAGTCCCTGTATTCTTTCCTGTTTTGACCCCCTTCCCGCCCCCTCTCTTGCTGTAGGCCTCAGATCTGTGATCAGCTTGCTAGTTTTGTCTTTTTCTTGACTTTTTGTTTGGTTTCTGTATATTCCATATGTAAGTGAGACTATCTGATACTTATCTTTTTCCTTCAGACTTATTTTGGCTAGCATAATCCCTTCCAGCTCCATCCATGTTGCGGCAAATGGCATGAGTTTGTCTTTTTTGATTGCTGAACAATATTCCACTGCGTAAATATGCCACGACTTTTTTTGATCTGTTCACCTATTTTGGGGCATTTGGGTTGTTTCCATTATCTCAGGCATTGTAAATTGTACTGCAATAAACATAGGAGTGCAGGTTTCCTTTCAAATTAGTTTTTTTGTGTACTTTGAGTAGATTCCTAGGAATGGAATGGCTGGAACTATGGCAGATCCATTTTTAGTGTTCTCAGGAACCTCCACATAGCTTTCTGTAGTGGCTGGACCAGTTTGCATTCCCAGTAGCAGTGTATGAGGGTTCCTTTATCTCCACATCCTCTCTAGCATTTGTTTCTAGCTTGCTTATGTGGTCCATTCTCACTAGCAAAGTGGTTTCTCATTGTGGTTTTCACTTGCATTTTCCTGGTTAATTTGTACTCTGGTGGGAGTTTGTTTCTTTTTTTTTTTTCCTCCTTTTTTATTTTATGTATTTTTTACATCATTTTTCATTTTTGCACAATGTGTGCATTTTCATCTTGGTATAGTCCCCATACAATTCCCACCCTGCTTATTTTGACCGTAATCCCTCCTATTCCCTCCCCCTCTCCACCCCCCCCCCCGCCTCATAGTGTGTCTCTGGTTTATAGTTGCTTGTTGATTTTGATTTTTATTATAATTAGTCTTTTTCCTGGTCCCTTATTTAGGTTTTCTAAATTCCTGCTATGAGTGAGATCATTGGTATTTTTCTTTTTCTTTCTGGCTTATTTCGCTGAGCATGATCCCTTCCAGCTCCATCCATGTTGCTGCAAATTGCATGAGTTTATCTTTTTTGACTGCTGAGTAATACTCCATTGTGTATATGTGGAGTTTGTTTTTTAAACTTTTCAGTGGGATATAACTCAAATTCTTAGAGCTAGACCATAATCAGATTTAAATTTAGGAAGAATGTAATGTAATTTCACTAGACTGCAGGCATTTTTGGCTTCATTTTGAGTACCAAATTGAAGGTTCCTACTTTAAGCACTCCTCTTTATGCATCAACATTCCCACTATTAATAAGATAAAGTAGCACGCCTTACAGGAATAGAGTGCTTTCAAATCTTTCAGTTCTCACTCTAACTTAATCATAATCATTTTTTCAAATCCACCTCTCCCTGGTCATGTAGTATGGAGTTGATGGGGATAGGGAATAATAGGTAATATATTTTATTTTAATTCTGGAATGAGAAATATATATAACATTGCAACTAATACATTTAGATAATGGTTACTAGTTTGCTAACTTGCATTTGTAATTAGATATTTTTATTTGTCTCTTAGACCTTGCCAGTATCTGAAGAATAGGAAAATATTTGAACAAAGAAACCCAATGTTATGGTAGAATGAGGGATTCATTGTGTATTGTGCTCAGAGTCCCCTAATAAGGACCTTTTCTTTTTTCAAACAAGAGTGTAGCATAAAACTGGGATGAGTTGGGAAAAGGGGAGAGTAAGTACATCCTATCCCCACAGAAACTAAAGGATATACCTTTTGCCTTGTTGAATTTTTGTTTACTTACTTTCACTTCTTGTTAGATCTTTGCCAGAACCTTTTACTCGTAAGTGCTTCATTTTCAGCATCTTTCTGGTCTTAACATTCAAGCTTTGTCTAACTTGAGAAAAGTTTTTCTACCCATTAAACAGATATATTTTCATTTCTTGTGAGTCTAATTTGTTTTGAATGTTACACAAGATGGGAGATTCTAATATAGGGAAGCAGGGGTCAGATAAGATCATAAGAAGACATTTATACACTTACATTTTTCCTGAGAATTGACTTTCTTAACCCAGAATGAATGAAATGTGGAACTACATTGTTACAGACTTTTGTTTTCATACCATAGGATGGAAACAGTTAAATATATTCTAGTTCTTTTTCTCTATATGTCTTCTTTATTCATTTTACTAGAGAGATCAGCAAGAGGTACACTCTAGGCCTACTTCAACACAAGTTAAATCATATGAAGATGATGATTACAGTTTAAGGTAAGTGACTTAATTTCTCAAACGCCATTTTTAAAATATATACACACACACACACACACATATATATATATTTTACATCACTGTTTATCTTTTCTTGTCACTTGGGCTTTTGGAGCCATATCTAAGAATACAATGTTAAATCTAAAGTCATTGACATTTATCCATATGTTTTCATTTAAGGGGGTTTATAGTTTTAGCTTTTATATTTAGGTCTTAGAGTTAAGTTTTGTATCTAGTATAACATAGGCATGAATAATCTTCTGCATGTGGCTATCTTGTTGTCTGAACGCCATTTTTGATAAAACCATTCTTTTCCCATTGAATGGTTTTGGTTCCCTTGACAGAAATCAGCAGGCCAGAGTCTTGATGACCCTTTATAGAGTTAGCCACAAATATTGTGAGATAAAATAGAGAAAGTGCTTTGACGAGCAAAGCCTATTAAAGAACAACCTCAAGACAAACACCAGACTTCAGGTGCATTCTTCACAATCACTGACCAAATGTTTCAATGACTTAAGGTTTTCAGGGCAAGAAGTGTCTGGAGGGCCTAGTGAATCTTTCCAATTTGACAAACTCATGCAATTTGCAGCAACATGGATAGCGCTGGAAGGGATCATGCTCAGCGAAATAAGCCAGAAGGAAAAAGAAAAATACTGGATGGTCTCACTCATAGCAGGAATTTGGAAAACCTAAATAAGGGACCAGGAAAAAGACTAATTATAATAAAGTAAAAATCAAAATCAAGCAACTATAAATCAGACACACTACGTGGGGGCATGGTGGAGGGGGGAGTAGGAGGGATTACAGTCAAAATAAGGGGGGTGGGAATTGTATGGGGACTATAACCAAGATGAAAATGCATACATTGTGCAAAAATGAAAAATGATGTAAGAAATATATAAAATATTTTTAAGAAATCACTCATGGCAAAGACCTGACTAAAGGTATAGCCTCTCCACAGAAGCCTGAAACTCAGAGTAAACCATTTTTATTTTTAAAAGGTTGGGGGAATGGGGAGAAAGAAGGCGGAGGAAGGGACAGAAGTGTTCAGGGTAAAGAAATAGAATTCTAAAAAAGTCTAATTTGGGGAAGAACTATGGGTATGCTAATGATACTTAAAACTGACTATAATCTAGTCGGTAGGAAACTCAGTTTTTGAGGGTTGTACCAGCAAAGAAACCTTTAGAGTAATGGACTGAAACTTGAAATTGTGACTGTAAAAAATCTTAAAAGAACTATGTAGTCCTCTCAGTTTTCTAAGATGAAGAAGCAGGCTATGAGAGTTGCACAGCTCTACGAGAGTATGTTTTTGAACATACCTGAGGACTTAGGAACTTAAAAGAAAAAAGATGTGCTACTTAAGGGACAGCTTATTTGACTTAAAATGTTGGGACACTGTTCATTTTACCAAAAAATAACTTTTGCATATGATTCAGCAATTTTCTGTAGTTATTTACTCAAGAAACATGAAGTATGTTCAAGCAGAAACCTATATGCAAATGTTTACAACAGCTTTATTCATAATTGCCAAAAAATTGAGACTAGCTCAAATATCCATCAAGGAGTAAATGGATGAGCAATTACGGTATATCCATGCAGAAGAATACTACTTGACAATAAAAAGCAATGAAATACTGATACAGCATCAAAATGAGTGCTATGTATAAGAAACAACACTTTTATATTATGCAATTCCATTTATTTGACATTCTGAAAAGGTAAAATTATATGGACAGAAATCAGATTAGTGGTGGAAGATAATTATAAAGGGCACCAGGAAACTTTTTGGGATGATGGAAATATTCTCTATCTTGTTTTTGCAGTGTTTACATTACCATTTAAGTTTTTCAAATTATAGAACTAGATACCAAAAAGAAAATATTTTGCTACATGCAAATTATATCTCAAGAAATCTAGAAAAAAGAATTTTGAACACCATTAGCTACTGGTGGTATATAGTGGTGAGTAAACAGACAGGTACTGCTCCCAAGGAATTAATGCTTAGTGTGTTGCTTTTAATTTTTAAATAAAACAAATTCCATAAAAATGATTATCACTTTATTTGATATATACATATCTAATATGTGTGCATATACTATGCAATTATTTACTTTTATTATACGTAACACTGGTATTTTTGGGTAAGTGATTTAACAGCTTTACATAATCTAAATTGTAGAATTTGAATAAGATTAGGCTTAGCTTCTATCTAGTAAACTAAAATATAGAAATGATGGTAGCAACAGCTAATCCTAGATTCTGTTGAAGCGACAGACCAATTTCACAAGCATAAAAATAAATCTGTTGATTTTCTTCATTTACTAAATTTTTCGTAGGTGTAAAGTGGTGACACTTTTCTTTACCTAGGTCAGGTGGTCTTTTTTTAAATGCCACTGTTTAAACAGATGGCTTTTATCATGTGAAAGATGATAGCTTGGCTCTTAACTTGGGAACTGTTGAAAGATAGTTCTGTAAAGAGAATCCATTTTAACTTAGAACAGTGATAATTCACCTAAATGATTACAGTTAGGCAGAATATGTTGTTATAGGTGTCCAACATCCATGTTCTCTGCCAAACAATATGGTAGGGGAGCCAGAACTTAAATTTCTCAATTGTCTTGCATACTTATCCTTCAGCCTGCTAAAAGCGAGGTTTACGACACAAATCATTTCCGTCTTACTGCATTCAAACCTTTTATGGAGAAGTTTTAAAAAAGGTCAGAGTACTATGTTTAAGTTCATTACTTTGGGGAATAATATCGCTCTGCCAAACCTGAGGAAGACAGATGACCGTTAAATGTGTTTTCACTAATATGCATGAGTATGTGGCAAGTCGAGGGGAAATGAAAGGTACAAAATGTAAGGATATGACAAATATTATTTTGAAATGAAGGTGATCAAAGAGGATACATAAATCTTGTAAAAAAAAATTGGGGATATTTTCATGTCATACATGAGAGGATTAAGCAACCTCTGAAATTTTAGAATATTTTAAGTCTTATTTTTTTCTTGCAACTATTCATAATTCTTATGAGGTTGTATTTGATATTATCTGTTAAGTATATGTTTGTGTCTAATATTGAGAAAAACCCCTATGCATTATTAGTTTAGTAGGTAGCATCTGATGTAATTTTGTTTTTATGTACTCCACTATGGTTAGTTTCTCAGGGGAGATGATAGTTTATTTTTTTTTTTTCTTCACAGCAACACTATCTATTAATGTGGTAGGTTTTCAGAAATACTTACACCTGTGTTTGTTGGGGATGATCTAGACAGTGGATCAGAGGTAGACAAAATTTTCCTGTAAAGAACCAGGTAGTACATATTTTTGGATTTGTGGGCTATCTAGTCTATTTTGCAACTCCTTGACTTTGCTGTTGTCCTGTAAAAGTCATTTAACCAGTACATAAGTGAATGGATGTTGCAAGTTCAGTCTGGGCCATAGTTTGCAGACCCCTATTTTATTTTTAATTTATGTATATTTTACATCATTGTTCATTTTTTTTTTTTTAAAGATTTATTTATTTATACAAGCACTGGGTACAGTCAGAAGTGCAGGAGGGTGAGAGAATTCACCAGAGCCGGGAACAGAACAGGCAGACGGACGGAGGACACTGCTGAGGGGAGCAGTGGGTGCAGCAGGAGAGGTCTGCGCGCCATGTGGGACCCTCGCCAGCGATCTAACCGGCGCTGCAGAGGCTGAGGGCAGCTTTGCAGCCCAGCGCTCAACTGCTGTGCCACTGGGGAGGCCCATTGTTCATTTTTAAACAGTTTGCTTCCCCCCACCCCTACCCCCACCCCCAATCAGGTGTAGTCCCCATAGAATTTCCTCCACCAGTTCACCCGTGCACCATCACCTCAGTCCCCTGTGCTCCCCCCACCCCCATCCTTACATGATGTCTCTGGTCTATAATTGTTTGTTTTTGTTTTGCTGTGTTTTGTATTGTTACTATTTTTTCCCCTGATGTCTTATTTGGTTTTCCTATATTCCTCCTATAAGTGAAACCATCCAATATTTTTCTTTTTTCTTCTGACTTATTTCACTGAGCATAATTCCTTCTAGCTCCATCCATATTGCTTGCAAATGGCATGGGTTTATCTTTTTTGATTGCTGAATAATATTCCATTGTGTATATGTACCACACCTTGATCCAGTCATCTATTTTTGGGCATTTGGGTTGTTTCCAGATTTTGCCTATTATAGTGTGCTGGCCCCTATTTTTACTTTGTTTTAAACTTCCAACTATTTTTGAAAACCTAGACATAGAATGAATTATATTTTAGATGTATTTATTCATACATTTAACAAGTATTAGTGCCAGTTTAAGGGTTTGTATGCCTACCACTATGCAAAGTACTAGGTAGAGTAGTAAACCAGACAGATATAACTCCTCTCCTCATGGAGTTCACATTGTAATGTGGAAACAGTCACTGACCAAGTATTAAAGTACATTAGATAAAGGATAACATTGAGTGGGCTCACAATGAAAAGTCCTGTTGTGAATCATTTTGTAAAACAGGTAATCCTTGTGTGTAGAAAATACTCTTCTTTATGAGTTCCATTTGTTAAAATTTGTCCTGCATGTTCCTGCAAAACTATTGGTATTGTATCTTTCCGAAGGTAATTAAAGCACTTCTCTTGTTTGTGCCACTCATTTAAAATAAACTGGCATGTGCATAACTAAAATTATAGCAAGGCCTACTTCATAGCTTCTTAGTTGTATGTTTTCCTTTCAAATGTAATCAATGTTGGATTTTATTGTGTCTCAGCCTGATATGGTTAATGTATAAAGTTTATTTTTGGTCTGTAGAGGTCTATTGTCTGAAGAGACAGTTCATCTACATTCAGAAACAAAGGTATGAAATCACACTTTTTGTGAATGCAATTGTATTCTGTAGAATTTAGGTGATTTTTATATACTTAGACAAAACAGAAAAGGGGTGTGAGTTATGGAAATAGACTATAAACCTTAATACACAGAAGAAATGACTTAATGAAATATTGTTTGTAAAAGAAAATGAAAAATTTTTGTCTTTATTCACTGAAAAATTTAGAGGTACATTGGAAAAAAAATCTAAGTGAAATTTGTAACCTAAGGAATTTTAATTTTCTCTTTAAGTACAGATTTGCTATGTAGAAGATCTGACTAAGAAAGGCACTCATACAAAGAAATTTTATTCATTAATTTTAAATATTTAGAGTGTTTAGATCACTGTTCCAGGTGCTGCTGGACTTACTAGGATCTACAAGTTTCCCATCTGTGAGAATCTAGGCCGAGGGACCAGTTTAAGTAAAAGCTTGTCTGGGGAATTATCAGCGCAAGTTAAATACTATGAGTCAGAACATCCAGTTTAATTTCCTCCGGCAAGATGAATATTCTTATCTATGGGACTCATTTTCTTTATCTTTGAATCTCTTAGTCATAGTGATATTTAGGTCTTTTCCAGGTATACAGTTCTGGGGTTCTTTAAAATACAATTGATTAATTCTATGAGCATAGCAGTTCTTTTATGTAGAAAACTAGCAGTTCTGTGTGTTACAAAAGTGTGTCCTTTGGCAAATGATTAGAATCTAATCAATATTTTAAATTTTTCTTCATGAAGTCAAAGACCAAAAAAAACACTCATCTAGTAAATAAGGTTCAAAACAAACTACACTCTGCAAATAAAGGAAGGAAAACAAATTCAAGGTACAGTACACTTTTAAAAGTATTACTTTCATTTTTTTAGTTGTATAATTCACAGTATCATCATTAACTACCGAACTCTATTTATCCAAATCTTTTTAAACCCCAAATTCATAAAACTATACTGTATATATTTTACTAACATTCAATAATTTAAAATATTTTCTACTCAGAAGTGTCGTATTGTAGTTAATGAACATTTTTTTGTTTTTTAAAGCAAAATTGCCATATTTGAAATTTTTTAAATGTTATTAGTGAGATGTTTTCTTAGAACTAAGACCATTACTTAGGTATCTTTCTCTGCCTAATTTTCTCAAATAGATTAAATTGTCTTTTACTTTTTGAGTTTATAACAGAGTGCCATACATTACTGAGTCTATTTAGATACAGATGATTATTTGACCTGCTCAAAATAAAGACTACAGTACCATTATAATTTATTTTCCATTGTTTCTTGGTGAAAAATAAGGCATAAAAAGGGGACCCAAGAGGTTCTCGAGTATAGATTTCCAGAAAAGGAAGGTCACACTTGCAGTGGGTAATGCCAGCCAGTTTCTTATTCACAGTAAGTTATTAGATTTGTAGGCCTACCACTTATCCAAATAAATAATTACACACAGAGGACCTCCCTGGTGGCGCAAGGGCTTAAGGCACAGCACTGTGAAGCTGTCCACAGCCACTGCAGCTTGAGTTCAATCCCTACCCAGGGAGATACCCACATGGCGCAGCAGACCTCTCTTGACTCACCCGCTTCTCCCCTCAGCAATGTATTTCAGTCAATCTGCCTGTTCTGTTCCCTACTGTCTCTGGTGAATCCTCTCCCCACATCTCTGGCCTGTACCCCAGTTCTTTTTTTCTTTTAAGTTTTTTTTTTAAAGATTTATTTATACAAGAACTAGGATATAGGCCAGGTGCGTGGGAGGGTCAGAGGATTCACCAGAGACAGCAGGGAACAGAACAGGCAGACTGACAAAATACACTAAGGGGAACAGCGGGCACGACAGGAGAGGTCTGCTGCGCCATGTGGGACCCTCACCGGCCGGCAGGGATCGAACTGGTGCTGCAGAGGCTGCGGACAGCTTCACAGTGTGGTGCTCAACCGCCTGTGCCACCGGGGGAGGCCCTGTACCCCAGTTCTTGTATGCATAAATAAATAAATCTTTTAAAAAAATTAAAAGACTTTTAGAACCATAAACTTGATGTATTAGGCATCACCCACTTTTCAGTGCCTTTAGAAGTGACTTGTATTTCATATTTCTTCCATTAACTTATTAAACAATAAAAATTCAACTTTTTGGTTAGCTTTCATCCTGGTTAGAATATATTTCTTTAGGTAGAAAAAATTTTTTGCTATTGAGCTAATAACTTTTGACTCTAATTCTTTTTCAAGAGTTCACTTTTTGCACAATTATGGCTAGATACCATTTTGTACAATTTTTCTCCAGTAGCAGGTATAATTAAAGCCAAAGGCTGGAGTTGACATAGGAAGCTGAGTTTGGAGGCAGTATCCGAATAGCCTCGTAAAGCCTTGTTTAGCATTGTGGTTGTGTGACTTATAAGGAATGAAAGTCTACGCAACCTCTTATAGTCTTTGAAAATATCAATTATTGGGCCTCCCTGCTAGGGCAGGCGGGTGAGCACAGCACTGTGAAGCTGTCCACAGCCTCTGCAGTGAAGGTTCAATCCCCGTTGGCCTGGGAGATACCCACATGGTGCAGCAGACCTCTTCTGTCTTGCCTGCTGCTCCCCTCAGCAGTGTATTTCAGTTGGTCTGCCTGTTCTGTTCCCTGCTCCGTCTGGTGAATCCTCACCCTCCCGCACATCTGACCCGGTTCTTGTATGCATGAATGAATAAAAAATGTAAAAAAAAAAAAAAGAAAATATCAATTATCAATTTCATCATTTAAAATTTATAATTTGATCTGCTTTTGGATATTTTATTAAGTCATATCTGGAAGTCTTTAATATATATGTGGTTATAATATATAATATGTGTATATATTGATTTTTTTTTAGTATAAAATTGAAATACTCTGATGTACATACTGCCAATGATGTTGCCATACCAGATGACTTCTCAGATTTTTCTCTTGCAAAAACAATTAGCAAAATTGAAGGGCAAATGGAAGAAGAGGGCCTACCTGATGATGCAGATAATATTTTTTGTGGTGTTAGTAAAGACATTGGAACAGGTAGGTTTTCTTTTATTTCTATCCTATATGACAGTTACTTAGAAAAAGATATATAAGAGCTATTTTTCTTACATTAAAAAAAAATTGTGATAGCTTGCCTTTTTTTTTTTTTTTTTTTTTTTTTTCAGAATCATATAGTGGGACATGATAGTGGGAGGAATGAGTAGGATTATAGAGGAAAAAAATTGATTATTAGTATAATTGTAGAAGATGGGTAATGGATAATTAGGATTTCATTGCACTAGTGTCTCCACTTTTATGTTATGTTTGATATTTTCCATTTAAAAAAAGTAAAAATAGATACTATATACTATTGGTTTCATTGACCACTTACTAAGGTTAAAGTGTACCATAGCTTATCATTAAAATTTGAAAGAAAAAAGCTTTGAATTCCTTTCATTTAATGTCACTGTGTTTATTGAATGTTAAATCAACACATGCAAAAAAGTAAGTGAATTATTGATGAAACATAAGGTAAAATAAATGAGTTTTCTGATGAATATAATTTTCTATAAACTGCTTACTACTAAAAAATGATAAAATTGATCATCTAAAAAAATCTGTTAGTTGCCGGTAATTCCTCTAAAATTGTTGAATTTATGAGGCACTACCAATGCTGTTGTAAACAAAATAATGAGTATATATGAACATAGGTAATCCTCAACTATAATTGTGACTTTTAGCAAATCACTTGGCTCTCTGTAGTAGAAATTTCATTTGAAAATTAAGCAGCGTGTATTAGGTGATCATGAGGTTTATCTTTAAAATTTCCTGCTTCTTGAAAATCATAATAATTTGTATGTGTAATGATTTTTGTGTGGTATGTTAGTCATGCATGAGGAGTACTTCATTTATGCATGTATTACACTTGCTGACCTAACCATATTTCTGAGGCTGGTTGTCAGGAGGGCAGATAGGTAAGAGCAGGAAGTTGCCTTTATGACTGTTAAGATGCTTTGAAGAACACATGGTCAGATGTTAGCTGTTCCTCAGTACAGTACCCGTGGATGGCCCTTTAACATTGTTCCTGCTCCCAGATATAGGGAGCCCGTGCAAATTGCCTATCTGAAATGGCTACTTTCTTTTTATTGCTGAATCACTTCTTTTTTTTTAAATCACTTTGCCTGTCTTCCCTATTCAGAATAGTTGTCTCCTCATTTGGGAGAGTTTTATTTCAGATGATTGCCTGTAGTGGCTGGGTTATGTGGGTGATGAAAAGATCAAAAAGCAGTTTAGTAGCACAGACTGCTGATTAGACTCATGAGATGAGACCACTGATCTCTTTGAGAAACTACTGAGTTTAAATTTGGGGAGAGAAAGAAATGGGAGAAGAAATGCTGTTATGTTCCTCCACCAAATGCTGAAAATTTCACACTTTAAAATATATCGTTTTCTTTTTATAGCCTCTGCTAAGCTGGAGTTACATGAGAAGCCAGAAGGAATATTGAGGCTAGTGATGTCTAGGCAAGGTTAGAGCCTCTGTAGTTGGTGAACTTTGTGGTAATCCTGGGAGCTTTGGAACAGGAATTATCTATGGAGAGTTTTTGTGCTGTGCGGGATGTATCCTAATGACTTCTCAGAGACAATTCAGGGTATTTATTCAAGATAAGCTTCCTGAGGGCAAAGCTTATAAATCACTATTGGGCCTGGAATATAGTAGAAACTTAATGTTTGTTTTTTTTTTTTTTTTTTTTCATTGAAAGACTGAATGAATTAGAGATGAGTTTTAACTTCGGTTTTTATTTTATAAACCTCAAAGATTTATTGCTGGTATTGTTGAATAAAAAACTCTTGCTTGCAATGAAATAACTAAGGTAGATTTTAAGAAGGATAGAAGCAAGCTTCAGTGGTAAGATACTAGTATATTTCTTTACTTCTACGACACATATTACATGGGATGTGTGTTACTGTCAGTGGCATTTTATAGTCACAGTAACCTGTACTGAAGTTGGCTTTTGTTAGATAAGATTTGTATTTGTGTCTGTCAGATACTTGGGGGTATTAACCTACCTGCAACCACTTTAAATTCTGCATAAAGTATTTTGGACCACTTTGGTACATATAAATTCAGTCTGGAAACTTACCTTAGCGCTGATTTGTGGTTCAGATTCTCAGTCAAGTTTCTTCTCTTGCCCTCTTTACTGCCAGGGTTGAGATATGAAACCTTCCTTTCTGTAGGGTGGATTTGTTCTTTAGTGTTCCCAACTAGGGATCTCCTGCTAGACTCCCCATCTTGAACATTTTTTTAAAATAAATTTTATTTTTATATTCCCCATAAATTGCAACCCCCTTATTTTGACCCCAATCCCTCCCCTCCCCGCCCCCTACCCCCCCTAGAGTGTCTCTGGTTCATAGTTGTTTGTTGATTCTGATTTTCACTTTCTTATAGTTATTCATTTTCCTGGTCCCTTATTTAAGTTTTCTAGATTCCTGCTATGAGTGAGACCATCCGGTATTTTTCTTTCTTTCTGGCTTATTTCGCTGAGCATGATCCCTTCCAGCGCCATCCATGTTGCTGCAAATGGCATGTGTTTATCTTTTTTGAATGCTGAGTAATATTCCATGGTGTAGATGTACCACATCTTCTTGATCCAGTCATCTATTTTTGGGCATTTGGGTTGTTTCCAAAGCTTAGCTATTGTAAATAGTGCTGCTATAAACATAGGGGTGCAGGTGCTCTTTGGAATTGATGTTTCTGTGTCCTTTGGGTAAATACCTAGGAGTGGAATTGCTGGATCATATGGAAGCTCTATGTTTAGTAGGTCCAGAAATCTCCACACAGCTCTCCATAGTGGTTGGACCAGTTTGCATTCCCACCAACAGTGCAGAAAAGTTCCTTTTTTCTCCACATCCTCGCCAACATTTATTGTTGCTAGTTTTTTTAATATGTGCCATTCTCACTGGTGTAAGATGTGCCATTCTCACTGGTGTAAGATGGTATGGCCATTTGCATTTCCTCTTCAGAGAAGTTTCTTTTTAGCTCTTCTGCCCATTTTTTGACTGGATTATTTGTTTGTGTTGAGTCTCATCAGTTCTTTGCAGATTTTTGTGATCAGTCCTTTATCATTAGTGTTGTGTGCAAAAATGTTCCCCTAGTGGGAACATTTAGGAACCCCTAGGTGGGGTTTCTCTTTGTTTTGGTTATTGTCTCTTTTGCTGTGCAGAAGCTCTTTAATTTGATGTAGTCCCAGCTGTTTATCTTTGCCTTCACTATCACTGCTTTGGGTGATGTGTCTGTAAAGATGTCTTTGATGTGCATATCACGTAGTGTTTCGCCTATATTTCCTTCTGTGTATTTTATGGTTTCTGGTCTTATGTCTAGTTCTTTAATCCATTTTGAGTTGATTTTTGTGTATGGTGTGAGGTAATGGTCAAGCTTCATTCTTTTGCATGTAGCGACCCAGTTTTCCCAGCACCATTTATTGAACAAACTTTCTTTGCTCCAATGCATAGTCTTTGCTCCTTTGTCAAAAATTAGTTGACCATAAATCTGTGGGTTTATTTCTGGATTTTCTATTTGATTCCATTGGTCTGTGTGTCTGTTCTTGTTCCAATACCATGCAGGTTTGATGATTATGGCTTTGTAGTATAGTTTGAAGTCTGGGAGTGTGATGCCTCCATTCCCTTCTTTTTTTTTTTTTTTTTTTTTTTTTTTTTTTCCAGGAGAGCTTTGGCTATTCGGGGTTTTTGGTGATTCCATATGAATTTCATCAATAATTGTTCTATTTCTTTGAAGAATGACATTGAAATTTTGATTGGAATAGCATTGAATCTGTATATTGCTTTTGGTAGGATGGCCATTTTAATAATGTTTATTCTTCCAATCCATGAGCAGGGGATGTCTTTCCATTTCTTTGTGTCTTCTTCTATTTCTTTTAACAGTGTTTTATAGTTTTCTTTGTATAGGTCCTTTACCTCTTTTGTTAGATTTATTCTCAAGTATTTTATTTTTTTTGTTTCAATAATAAAAGGGATGGTTTTTTAAATTTCTTCTTCTTCAGATTTATTGTTTGTGTATAGGAAGGCTACTGACTTTTGCGTGTTGATTTTGTATCCTGCCACTTTACTGAACTGATTGATGAGTTGAATTAGTTTTTCTGTGGAGTTTTTGGGGTTCTCTATGTATATTATCATATCATCTGCAAATAGTGATAGTTGGACGACTTCTTTTCCTATTTGGATTCCTTGTATGTCTTTCTCTTGTCTTATTGCTCTGGCTAGGACTTCCTGTATTATATTGAAAAGCAGTGGTGAGAGTGGACATCCTTGTCTTGTTCCAGATCTTAATGGAAATGCTTTCAACTTTTCACCATTGAGAATGATACTGGCTGTTGGCTTGTCATTTATGGCCTTTATGATGTTGAGGTATGTTCCTTGTATCCCAAGAATTTCAAGGGCTTTTATCATGAATGGGTGTTGCACTTTGTCGAAAGCTTTCTCAGCATCTATTGATATTATCATAAGGTTTTTATATTTCTTTTTGTTGATGTGTTGGATAACGTTGATTGATTTTCGGATGTTGAACCATCCTTGTGTCCCTGGCATAAATCCTACTTGGTCGTGGTGAATTATCTTATGGATACATTGTTGGATTCTGATAACTAAAATTTTGTTGAGGATTTTTGCATCAGTACCATCTTGAACATTTTTACCTCATAAAATAATCGTCTGTTCACATTTGATGATATCTCAGATTTAATGAAGTACAATAAATACAATTACTTCATTCCACAGAAGCACAGATCAGATTTCTAAGGGCCAAACTCCATGTTATGCAGGAGGAATTGGATAAGGTTGTATGTGAATGTAATAAAAAGGTAAGTTTAAAAACTTCTCACAATAAATGCTCTAACACAGACATTTTAGAAGCAATTTAAATTATTTTTTAGAAGTAGCTTCTTAAGATACATTTCCTAGTTAAATTTTGAATTAAAAAATTGTAAGTACTGAACTTTATTCTGGGATGTTAAATTTTAAGAACTAAAGAATTTTTAAAAATTGTTAGCAATTAGAATTCTCTATTAGACTTACAAGTATGAGCTATTAAATACCAATAAAGCATCTGACTTCCTTTTTTTTAAAGATTTATTTATTTTTTTATTTATACAAGTGCTGGGGTACAGGCCAGATGTGTGGGAGGATGAGAGGATTCACCAGAGACAGAGTGGGGAACAGAACAGGCAGAAACACACTGATGAAACACACTGCTGAGGGGAGCAGCGGGCGGGACAGGAGAGGTCTGCCACGCCAGGTGGGATTCTCGCTGGCTAGCCGGGATCGAACCTGCGCTGCAGAGGCTGCGGACAGCTTCTCAGTGCAGCGCTCAACCACCTGCGCCACTCGGGAGGCCCTGACTTCCATTTTTTAGATTTATTTATGCATACAAGAACTGTGGTACAGGCCAGGGGTGAGGGGTCGTGAAAGAATTCACCAGAGACAGAGTGGGGAACAGAACAGGCAGACTGACTGAAATACACTGCTGAGATGAGCAGCAGGGAAGGCAGGAGAGGTCTGCTGCATCATGTGGGTCACCCCCTGCCTGGGATCAAACTCATGCTGCAGTGGCTGGGGATAGCTTCATAGTGCTGCCTCTTAATGCCTTGCGCCACCAGGGAGGCCCCTCACATCCATTTTTGCAGATGAAGATGGAGTCATTTATTTTTTTCTCATGAAATGGGTATTATCAAATACCACATGAAGCTCCTTTTTGTTCCCTGTTTTATTTTCTGATTCTGAATCCTCATGTTTATTCACATAATCTATAATTTGATAACTATAGGAGGATGAAATTCAGGATTTAAAGTCTCAAGTAAAAAATTTTGAAGAAGATAGTGTGAGACAGCAGCGAACAATTAATTTGCAACAATCTCAAGCAGAAAAATATAAAACACTTTTTGAAGAAGCAATCAAAAAATGTGATGGATTACAGCAACAGCTGTCTTCAGTGGAAAGGGTAAAAAGTTGCTATTTTTCCTAACGTAATGCCAAAATAAACTAAAATATTGAAGTTACATGTTTGTATAGACATCACTTTTGGTTATTCAGTTATTTTGTTAGTATTTGCTAGATATTTGCTTGTATTTCATATGTTAGTATTTGATAGTAATTGTCTCCATATGAGGAGAACATTTAATAGAGTTATTGAGATTCACATACAGTATATCTGACTCTTTTAAAGTACACAATTTGTTAACTTATCACTTATTCAGATTTGTGCAACTATCACAGAACATTTTTATCCCCAAAAGACACTCCCATACCCTTCAGCTACCAGAAGCTAAACCTTCTTCCTCAATACCTTCCAGCCCTAGGCAATTTGTAATCTATTTCCTGTCTTGATAAATTTGCCTATTTTGGACATTTTCATATGCATAGAATCATACATTATGTATGATTTAAAATTTTTTTAATTTTTTAAAAATGTTATTTTATTGCAGTAAAACTTTTTATAAACTATTTTTATTTGTGACTGACATATTTTCCTTGACATAATTTCTTCAAGGTTCATGCACATTGTAGTACATATTAATACTTCATTCCTTATAGAATAATAGTTGTTTTTCTAGGTATAACATGTTATTTATCTGTTTATCAGTTGATGGATGTTTGAGTAGTTTCTATTTTGGGGGCTGTTTTGAATGATGATACTATGAACACAACTTTGTGGATAATCTTCATTTCTCTTGGATGTGTATCTAGGAGTGGAATTGCTGGTAACTTTAGACTTAAGCCTTTGAGGAACTGCCGACTATTTTCCATCTTCTGAGATTCTTTTCATTGCTGAGTAGTGTAACATATGAATGTACCACATTTGCCTACATATCTAGAAATAAAAATTATAGTATCTAATAGCCTAAGCCAGTGTAGTAGCCACTCACTGTGTGTGGTTAGTTCAAATAGTGACTTGCTCTAAGTATAAAACAGACATGAGATTTTGCAGGCTTAAGACAAAGAAGAATAAAAAGGTAAAATAAACTCAGTAGTTTTACATTGATTACATGTAGAAATTATAATTTTTTTGATATACTGGGATGAGTGAATAATAGTATATCGTCATCAACACTTGGTATTGTCAATTTAATTTTACCCTTTCTGGAGGCATAAGAGTAGTACCTATTACAGTTCAGTTTGTGTTGCCTTTGTAACTGTTGATCATTGAACATTTTCATATGCTTATTGGCTATTCAGAGAAATTCTTTTGTGGTGGTGATGTGTCTGTACAAACCTTTTGTCCATTGAGAAAAACACTATAGTAAGAGTTTTTCTTATATATGTTTTCTTATGTAATTCCTTTGCTAGAAGAATATGTATTTTGTATAGTTTTTCCTAGTCTGATGTGACTTTATTTTTTTCAGTGTCTTTAAAGAAGAAGAAATTTTTATTTTTTAAAAAAAATTATTGCAGTAATACAGTTTTATAAACTATTTTTAATTTTGTTGAATTCATATATACATAATGAATAGTGCCTTTTTTCATCCTTTTCAAGAAATCTTTGCCCATCCCAAGGTAGTCATGAGGATATTCTCCTGTTTTCTTAAAGAAGTTTTATGGTTTTGGCTTTTATGTGTATATATTATATATAAAAAAGATTTATGATTTATTTCAAGTATATATGGCATGAGGATAGGGTCAGGATTCATCTTTTTTTCCTTATGAAGGTTATCAGCATTTATTGAAAACATGGTTCTTTTTCCATTTCAATACACATTACCTATCTAGAAAAGGAATTGAGTCTATGTGGATCTTTTTCTGGACTCTGTTAAATTGATTTATGTTTGACAGAGTTCATTGTTAAAACCATGCAGATTGGAAACTTCTTTTTGGAGAGATTTTAATTATCAATTTAATTTATTTAGTACATATAAGTCTTTTTAATTTTCTTTTCCTAGATTGGATTTCCTACGTTTAATAGCAACGCCAGTGTGACTGCTATATTCCTTAATAAAACCAAGGTCAACACATACACAAACACATACACCCTGCTAAAACTCTTTCAAAGACATCCTGTATCATTCAGAACAAAAATCCAGATTCCTAGGCTGTGCTTACAAAATCAGCTAAGCTCACCCCGCCTGTTTACCCTATCTCAAGCCCTGGCAATGTGCCTGTCACTCAGTAGAAACCACTTCAGCCACCTAGGTAATCTCTTAAGATGCTAAAAAGATTTCTGTGCCTCAGTTTGTCTTCATTGCTCCAGATCTTTACATACATAAATCATCTCTCCATGTGGAAATCTTTCATTAACTTTATTGTCTTAAATGATACCTGTCACTATTGCTGTTTCTTACCTTTATTTTGGTTCATAGCCACTACCAGATATTACCCAAATGTGTGCATATGTGTGTTTATCATCTGTCTTGTCCACTAGAATGCACGTTTGTGAGAGGAGGAACTTTTATTATTGTGTGCCTATCATGTAGAATAGTACTTGGCACCTAGTAAGTGCTTAATAAATGTGGTGACTAAGTAAAACCTATTAGGCATAAATATCATTACTTCCAATTTCAGGAATGGAAACAGTCTATCACAGCTGACAGGTTTTCCTATTCCAAGTCCATTGGTTTTGTATCTTAACCACTTGATTTTAGAACCTTGTCTCATCATTTATTTGTCCACATCTTATTTTTCCTCATTTGACTTCTCGGGCAATTTGTTTTACTCCATTTGTCACGTGCTATGGCTACTGATACTTTTCTCTTGCCCTTTTCAGTGCCTTATGAATACTCAAAAAATTATTGGAGAAAGGCAAATATTTCTTCTTGGGTCCATGCATTCATTAGAGCTTGAGATTTTTTTCATAATTTTTTTTTCTAGGAACATGTAAATTACTTAATTTTTTTGGTAAGGATAGATTTTCTTTATTGACTATGTTCAAGATACAAGCTCTTGTGTAACAATCTTCACTTGGTAAGAAGTGGTTGAGTATGTTTGAAAACAAATGTTTTCAAGATTTTGATATGTGTTCCCTTTCTTTCATGAATTTACTCATGTAGCAAAACTTTCCTACTTTCCTATTTTTCTCTTTCACTTCTCTCAAGAAGGGTGCATTTCTCTCAAGGGGGACAGGAGAGATTCAAGTACTCTCAGGAAGGGTGCAGAATAGATGCGGAGGTGGGGGTATCTTGTGAAGGATTTTCATTTTTCTATAAAGTAGGTTACAAAGTCACCAGCAGGAAAGAGAAAGGCAAAAATATATTTCCTTATTCTTATGAGAGGAAGCTGAAGTGAGGCAGCAAGAATTGTGGACTTAGTAGCTAATGAAAATCGTTGTCTTTTCCATGTGTGCAGTGAGATAAATCAGGCTCGCTCCTAGTGTAGCTACCACCCACAAAGCTGTGAAGAAGGCTGGTGATAGCAGATGGTATCCATACACAGTTTGATTTGTTTAGAAGCCTACATAAAGAGCAGCATGTGTTTTGTTTTGTTTTGCCCTTAATTACTCAGAGCCAGGGAGATCAGTTTTCAAATAAAACACAGTGATACAGCCAGGAGAAAAAAATTGTAAAAGAAGAAAACAGACAACTGTATTTTTAACTCCATCATTTCAATTCCGTGTAATGTATTTTCTGTATAAGATTTTGTGTGTTAGGCATTATAGGGGATACAAAAGAGTGAGTTAAGTATTACAAAATAAATTCAGTAAAGGTCATTAGTGCCTCTTCTATGCCACTGAAACACTGTGGAAATAGAGCTTATTGTGGGAGGGGACAGTGAAGTAATGAATAGTTTCAGTTCCACACAGCAGCTCCTGTGATATATGTATTTCAAGATGCCGTTAAAGCTCTCTGGAAAGAGTACTTGATCTGCTCTGGGAGGATAGTGAGGAAAGGTTTCTTGTAGGATCCTTATGTGAAAAATTCTCACGCGTATCCTGAGTGGGATCTTAAGGATGGTAGGGGCTACCCAGGTAAAAATGAGGAATAGGGAGGGAGCGAGGCAGAAGGAGAGCATGAGCAAAGGCTTAGGGGCAGGAGAGATTCAAGTACTGGTGGTATAGCTGAAGTCCACATCTGCAGCAGGATTGTGATTATGGTGGTGCTTGGAGTTCATCCTTTATGATCGTGTCTTCTCAGCGTGGCCTGTAGATGCCTGTAGCAGCATCTTATTTGCAGAAATTCAAATCTACACTCATCCCACGATATGGAAAATAAGTTCTGTTGTTTGTGCTCAAAATTGGGGTTTTTTCCTTAAGGCTAAATAAAGTAGAATGATCTGTATCTAAATAAGTATTTTCTTAAATGACAGACCTTAACAGGTTTACATGAAAATAGTACTTATGAAAACTTGTGTTTTACATTGGCATTTTGGGAAGTTCACAAAGGAAGATCTATTGCTATGAAGAAGTGACTATAAAGTAAACATAGAAGACGTATATTGTATCTTAGATCAATAAAAAGAAAAAAATCCACACAATAAGTGATGTGGAAAGCCTAATTTGTGACTACATGTTTAAGGGTATATCTTCCTCATCCCAGTTGAGGGTAAAGAATTCCCTGAGACCTCAGTGTTCAGCTTCTGAGTGTGTGTGTGTATGTGTGTGTGTGTGTGTGTAAAATATGAGAGGAAGGATTGTGTAAATGTGAAATGTTGCAAAATTTAAATTTGTAATACATTTACAAATGTTCCATATATCTCTTCACTGTACAGGAACTAGAAAATAAAAGAAGATTACTAAAACAGGCTGCCACTTGTCAAAGTACTATAGAAGTTCGCTTGAATAGAGCTCTAGAAGAAGCAGAAAAATATAAATTGGAGTTAAGTAAATTAAGGCAAAATAACAAGGTAAGGAAAAATTTAATACTTCTGGTAGTGATCATCTTTGGTTACTTCCTTTTTGATGCAAGAGTCCAAAACAATAATTTAAAATTTTTAATTTTGATGTTGTAAACATTTCTCTTTCAGAAGAGATAAAGTCATCATCAATATGTGCCTTTTTAATAAGTGAGGATTACATTGCTTGGGCTAGTGCCATAATTGGGTGACAGTACAACTCTTTGGAGGAATCATTGTTTTATCATCCAACAAATCCTCATTATATGCTATGGTAGAGAAAAGTCTCATCTGTCTCAAATCTGTTAAATCCTCCTCTGGGCCTCGATTTCCTAATATAAAATAACGGAAGGGGCTGTTTTAAGGGTATAGTTTTCAAACTTGAGCTCATGTCAGAATTATCTGAAGGGTTTGCTAAAACAGATGGCTGGGCCCCGCTCCTGGAGTTTCTGACTCAGTAGATCTGTCATAAGGCCTGAGAATGTGCAGTTTTAACAAGTTCCCAGGGGATGGTGATGCTGTTGTTTCTGTGAGGACACTTGGATAAGCCCTGTTAGAGCTAGGATAAGGGCCATCATTGTATCCCCAGGATCTGACCACTGCCTGGCAGAGATTTAAGTAAGAAAAAATCCAAAGGCTCCAATAGTGATGTGTATGAAAGCCATTTGTACAATCTTTATTAAATATTGGCCATCAGCTTTTGGCTCTGTGTCAATCTGAAAGTGATGCTTCATTGGAATCTTTCCCTTAGGATAATATCTGACAATTTAATGTATCTTAGATGATAAAATTAGGAATCACCCTTGTTCTATATACACAGATGATACCTTTTGGATTAAATTAGTAACACTTAACAGTAATAGATTTGTAACAGAGGTGGTTAAACGAACAAGTTAGGAACTCTTCGTAACATCTTTACTCATCTATTACTAGCTGGTATTAGAGAATGCACCAATTTGGTACATTTTAAAGGGATTTTGAAGAGAATAAAATGGAATAGCCATATATGTGTCAGGATTTGCTGATTTTGGTTGTTAATTTGGTTTCCATACACATTAAAGAAGTAGGAAGAAAAACTTGTTTCTATGACAACACACGATTCTAATTCTAGCCAGCCATTCTGTAAATTCAAGTAACAGGGACTTGGTATGAGAATAATTGAGTTCAAGACCATTAGTACTATTATAAAACTACTTAAAAGTGTTCTTTTTTTTTTTAAAGATTTATGCATACAAGAGCTGGGGTACAGGCCAGAGTTTTGAGGGGTGAGAGGATTCACCAGACAGAGTGGGGAACAGAACAGGCAGGCTGACTGAAATACACTGCTGAGGGGAGCAGCGGGCGAGTCAGGAGAAGTCTGCTGTGCCATGTGGGCAGCTCCCTGGCCAGTGATTGAACTTGTGCTGCAGAGGCTGCAGATAGCTTCATAGGTTGCGCCTTAACCCCTTGCACCACCAGGGAGGGCCTTAAGTGTTCTTAAGCAAACATCTCACCCCAAGTCTATCTTATAGGTGCTATCCCACTATTTGCTATCAAGTAGATGTTTTGAGATCAGAAGTTTTTTAAATGTTTCTGAAAAAAGTATCTTAAATTTGAATTTTTTCCAACTATTTTGCCTTATTTCTAACTTTATCTTTGATGTTTCTGGGATATGAATTAAGTTTTTCCTTAGAGTCTATTTATATGTGTATTTTTCTTTTGTGAGTAGGTATATTTTTCCATTTTAATTCTTTGTACATTGCTTCTCATTCTGATTAGACATAATTATTGTTTGGTAGATAATTAAAATTATTCAGATCTATATGTTTATGAAATTATAAGGTTTCCATGCAAAAGCACAGAATTGTTTCATAGTCATTAGAAAATTAACCATTTATTTAAAAATAATGATAAACATAATTTTCATAGAGGCTAGAAAACACACTTTTGAAACCAAAAAAACAGCTTAAACCAGATGCTATTTGAGTGCAGGAGCCCTGACTGTCATTCACACTGTGCCTCATTGCCTAGAGCAGTGATTGCCTCCGAAACACACTGAAGGACTGATGGAAGACAACTAGGTGATTGTTTAACTAGAATTCTATTTAAAAAACATGGCATTGGATTAGTTGGTGGCTTGAAGTTCATTTTATTTTATTTTTTAATTATTTTATTTAGTTTTTATATCATTTTTCATTTTTTGTACAATGTATGTATTTTCATCTTGGTTCTAGTCCCTGTGAAATTCCCACCACCCATTCACCCGTGAACTGTACCATGGTCCCTTGTGCTCTTCCCACCCCTGTTTTGATCCTACTCCCTTCTCCCCCTCTGCAGAATGTCTCTGGTTTATTGTTGGCCTGTTGATTTTGATTTTTACTTTATTATAACTTTTTTTCCTGATCCCTTATTTGGATCTTCTACATTCCTCCTATAAGTGAGACCATCTGATTTTTTTGTTGTTGTTCTGGCTTATTTCACTGAGCATGATCCCTTCCAGCACCATTCATGTTGCTGCAAATAGCATGAGTTTATCCTTTTTGATTGCTGAGTAATATTCCATGATGTGTACATACCACATCTTCTTGATCCAGTCATCTATTTTTGGGCATTTGGGTTGTTTCCATAGCTTACCTGTTGTAAACGGCTGCAGTAAACATAGGGGTGCAGGTGTCCTTCTGGATTAATGTTTTTGTGTCATTTGAAGAGATCCCTAGGCGTGGAATCACTGGATCATTTGGAAGCTCCATGTTTAACAGATTGAGGAACCTGCATCCAGCTTTTCATGGTGGTTGCACCAGTTTGCACTCCCACCAGCAGTGCAGGAGAGTTCCTTTTTCTCCACATCCTCGCCAACATTTATTGTTGCTAGTTTTTTAAATATGTATCATTCTCACTGTTGTAAGATGGTACCTCATTGTGTTGTTCATTTTAAATGTCACCAATATCACGTCATTTAGGAAGAGATAATTTCTAATTTTTTATTAATTCATTTAGAAATGTTTACGACGGCCTGCTAGGTACCTACCAGATCTTTACTAGAAGCTGGAAAGAACAGTGATTTCAGTGATTTAAAAAAAATGTGCTTATAATTATAAGGATCAGTGTTATTTCAGCACTCAGTGTTATTTCAGCACTCTGGTGTATGCTATGAAGAAGGATTCATGATACTTTGAGCAGGTAACTAGGTCAAAAAACACATTTTTGAAAATGTAATTCTAAATGAAAATCTGAATAATACAAAGGAATTATGTTCTAGGGAAGAGATTATTTTACGGAAGAAAAGGCACGTAAAAAATCTCTGGTAACAAAGAAGACAAGGTGATGAAAGGCAAGGATGACTGTGCAGGGAGGGTTGCAAATTAAGGCTTCAAAAACAAGTAGAAGCCAAACCTTCTAGGTCCCTTAGGCCATGTTATGTATTCCAAGAGCAGTGCAGAGCCAGCACACAGATACTTTGAAAAAGTTGTAGACTATGTCATCATCAGATAGGTATCTGGAAACACTTTCTCTGTGTCTGCTGTTGATTGGAAGCGTAGTATTGATTGGAATGGGCCAGAATGGATGCAGATAGACTGGTTAAGAGCAGCAGTGCATATGGGAGATGTTGTTACTTAGACTAAACTGACAGTGGTAGAAATGGAAAGAAACTAAGTAGCAAAATCAGTCTAGGAGGGAAAACCACTGTGACCTGATAATAAACTGGGTATGGAATTGTGGGGAGGGAAGCTTATGGAATTTTTCTTTTTACTTTGAGAATCAAATAGTGCCATTCACTGACATATGAAATCATATAAGAGGTTTGGAGAGGAAGATTGAGTTGATTTAGTTAAGTTTGAAGTTATTCTGAGATGTCCAATAGGAGACATCAAAAGTTGGTATGGTAACAAGATACTAGCATATGCAGAGTTAGTAACTGATGCCATTCCTGTTGACTAGGAAGATAGGAAAGAGAGAGGAGACAGTGAAGTAAGGGCCTAGAGCTGAGCCTTGAAGAGTATCATTATTTTTTTCTAATTTTTTTTTTTAAATAAAGGCATGTTTTATTTATTTATTTATTTGTTTGTTTGTTTTTGTTTATACAAGCACTGGGTACAGTCAGAAGCGCAGGAGGGTGAGAGAATTCACCAGAGCCGGAGTGGGGAGCAGAGCAGGCAGAAGGACCGAAGCACACTGCTGAGGGGAGCAGCGGGCGGCAGGAGAGGTCTGCACGCCATGTGGGACCCTCCTCCGGTGGCCGGGGAGCAGCCGGGGATCGAACCGGCGCTGCATAGGCTGTGGGCAGCTTCGCAACCCAGCGCTCAACCGCTGCGCCACCGGGGAGGCCCCGAGTATCATTATTTTTTAAAAAAAGTGATCAGCAATGTTAAATACTACTGAGAGGTCAAGTTCTTTGAGTTCTTAAGAAAATGCTGGATTTAACAACACAGAAGTCACCTTAGAAATGTTTTGGTTGAGGGGCCTCCCCGGTGGTACAGCGGTTGAGCACCGGGTTGCAAAGCTGCCCGCGGCCTCTGCAGCGCCAGTTCGATCCCCAGCTGCTCCCCGGCCACCGGAGGAGGGTCCCACATGGCGCACAGACCTCTCCTGCCGCCCGCTGCTCCCCTCAGCAGTGTACTTCGGTCCTTCTGCCTGCTCTGCTCCCCGCTCTGGCTCTGGTGAATTCTCTCACCCTCCCGCGCTTCTGACTGTACCCAGTGCTTGTATAAATAAATAAATAAAAATAAATCTTAAAAAAAAAAAAATGTTTTGGTTGAATAAGGGAGAAGCTAAATTCAAGGGTTACTCTTAGAGGAAAAGCTTTCAGTTTTTCCCATTGAGTCTGATTTAAGCTGTGGGTTTGCCCTTTATTATTCTTTCTATCCTCATTTTTTGAGTTTTCATCAGGAATGAACTTTGAATTTGTCAAATGCCTTCCCTGCATCTGTTGATGTCATAATACGGTTTTTATTTTTCCTTTTGTTGAGGTGAGTATTTGATTTCCATGTTGAACCATCCTTGAATCACTGTAATAAATCCTTCTTGATCACGCA